TACAGGAAGGCTTTTCAAGAATATCCATAGAAGTATATCCATTTTTTTTTATTAAATTCTAGACACAAATAACATTACATAAAAAATGATAAATATTTGAAATCACTCGTAAGTAATTAATTACATTCATTTGAACTTATCTCAAAAAGTGCGTGACTTATACGCAACTCATTTATTTTACGCGCGATCATTCATAACTAACACGCACACAAGTTCGTTTGTGTGCGTGAACAGTAAAATTCAGGTATTTATGAATGACTACCAAGTTGTCAACAAGTTCTGTTTTTTAGGGAACAGAATGGTAATTTTTGAAAAAAAAAATAGTTTGTTTTTATTTCAATAAACGAATATACTTCCGAGTTTGAACCTCCTGTGTAAATTTGGGCACCTTTAAAAAAGTCGTCCTGTATAATCAAAGATATTAAATCGGGCAACTGGAGGACTTAACATCCATCATCCATTTCAACAAAACTTTCTTACCCAAACACAAATATTTCGGCGTTGAATGGACAACATAGTACTCTTAAAAATGATTGTAATTATAAAATGATTGATTTATGAATTCAAACTAAAAAAAATGTTCACTTTTTATAGTTTGAACTCATTATTGATACCTAAGTTAACGTTCAGGGCTTTCCATTTTTGTTATCATTAAAAATAATATTACTGATATTTCCCGAAAAAATATTTTTCTAAAAGTCTTTTGTATCTAAAAGAGTTAAAAACTTTTGTTATTTTAATATTGAATAAAATGTATGTCATTGTATTTTAGAAGTAAGTGACGTAAGTAATCGTGTAGACAATTATAGGATTAACAATTGCCTGAAAACGACACGCAATTACGATCCGATTTAACATTGCCTGTTATTGTTATAAGGCGCAATGCATTTTTTTTTAAATCAACATTAATTGTTAAGTACTGGAAAGAAACCGAAACCACAAAACTTGAACTAATGAAATAATTTCTAACTAACTTCAAAAAAAAGTACAGTAAAGTATCAGCCTATATATGTCTCATAGCTTTTTTTTTATTATTATTTCGAAAATATGCACGTTTCCTCACGATCTTTTACTACACCACTGAGCACGTGATAATTCAGCACTTAAAATTAACAATTTCATTGGTGCCGGCACCGGGGATCGAACTCAGGTTGCTCGAGTATATTGAATTAAAGGCGAGCGCCCGGACACTGAGCTATCACGGCTCAAGAGTCAATTGAAATATTAGTAGCTCAAGGTCAAATAGACGGGAAGTGAGGTCTACCACCCTGAACGTTTCCTATTAAGACACAACTATGTCTTTATTATTATATATAGAAAAAGTACGAAAAGATTGTGTGCTGTGTACGAAAAGTGTGTGTGCTGGAAAGGACATAACAATGGATGCGTCAAGCATTGGTACGAATGCTAAAAACAATGTAGATAAAAGATGTTAAGATTTTCGTCGGTGTGGCAATCAGCCTAGTGGTTAAAGCGTTAGGCCGCGAATGACGAAGACGAGTGTTCGATTGCCACAACGGCCAATCTTTTCGTACTTTTTCTACATATTTTAATGCTCAATCTTAAGTGCAGAGATTAGCACTATAAATAATTTAAATTTCTACAACTATGTCTTCTATAATGATCTCAAGCGACTAATCAAATGAAACTGAGGAGTGTTGCAAGATCAGTTAAAATCAAGACAACCTACACCATAGACCAGGGGCCGAAAACACAATATGAAAGATATCTGTTCGGAAACAAGCACTGTATATTTTTTACACTTTCAAATTGATTTATATCACAGAGTATACGTATTATGTCCCACGGTAAGTGATGTATCCATGGATAACCTTGTAAATCTAAAACATGGCATTTAAAGCGTTAGAATACTAGAGAAAGGAAAAGCAAGACGAAACAAACTAGCTGTACTGATTAAAGGCACATCACGGAATCGGCGAATCTTTTCTTCCAAACACATGAGCATTATCAAAGCCGTCGATGTTTAGAGAACGAATGATTGAATGGATGTGCTCTGAATTGAAAGGCGGACAGCGAATGAACGTTCAACGAATTAACCGAGATTCACTGAAGTATTTTGTCGAATGGATTCACAATAAGGCATTTATTGAGTTTTATTTATTTATTAGACATACCTGTTGTCTTAACATAAAAATGCTTATATGGATTCTTTACGATATTATTGACGAATTGTGATAAAGTTTAATCCTTAACGAATAAAATAAGTTTCGTTACTTAGATTTATCATTTATTGTAAGAATACGTATTGGAAATATTATTTTTAACTGGTAGGGCCACGGAACACCACACATCCAGTTCATTGTTGCACAAATGGGCAATGAATGAGTTCCGGGGAAATACCATGACCTCACAGAAGAAGTTACAAGTAACAAGGTGAAGTGGCGTATTGTCTGCAACACTAAAAGGTGTTGCAAATGTCCATGGGCGGCGGAAATCACTTAATATCAGGTGTACCGCTAGCTCGTTTGCCACCAAAAATAAAACATAAAAAAATTTATCGCCGAAAACTATGTAGAGAATATCGGCTAATAGCCAATTGGTGGATCGAATTACCGGTATAAGAACATTCTTCAAAATATTTCAAAGTACTTATAAAAACATTCTGGAACATTCTCAACTCGTGTTTGTGCAGATATGAAAGAACCTAGTGACTTTTTAATAAATTCCACATAGCAGAAAACTTTTCAACGCAAGCCACGAATCAACGCCGAACAGTTTGAGAGCTCGGTCGTATACCAGATTAGACCCAAGCGCACGGCGGTTCTTGTCAAAGTTTCCAAGTTAAATTGGATTACCTACCAGCTCTATTGAAAATAACTTTAAATATCGCCCCGGCGAATGTATTTGAATTATAATCAATTTCACTCGCTAATTTGAAATTTAAACGATCTTCATGTTTATCGAATCCTGTTTTATTGTAGTTATCTGTGCGAGAATGCTAATTATTCTAGTAACAAGTTGACAATTACGAGGAGAGGTGACATGGAAACCTGTTTCGAGGTCTTTGTAGGTGACCCTTTATTATACAACCCTACGGGTGTTGCAAATGACAATGGCAAATGACAATGACCAGCTCAACTGTTTCTCAATTATTTAGACTCATTTATCACTTATTTGGACTTATGCCTTGTTCAGTTTGTGTGATGATGGGAGATCCATTACAGGCCTACAACTGCAAAGTCCCTTGGCGAAGGGTGATGATTACTTACCATTGGCTTAATCGCTCGATCCTTTGCCAATATGCTTTTAGAAGCGGGATGGAAGTCTGTTTTCTATCGATCTGAGCTATCCATGCCATGGGCTATGATTTTTTTTAGTAAAGGTGCCAAGCTAGCAGGTGGTTCACCTGATGTTAAGTGAATACCGCCGCCCATGGACATCTGCTACACCCGAGGGTTGCAGAAATTTGAAAATTGGGCTCCGGCTACCTCACTCATCAGACGAAACGCAAAAGTACCCGGACGAGCTTGCCCATTCGTGCAACAGCCGAGGCTGCTGCGTGGCCCTACAACCAAAAAAGTGAAACTAACATTTATTCAATCACTCCATCCGACCGGTCGTTAAACAGTCTACCGGCGCTCTGTACTCAAGTGAGCGTTTACCGCACTCGACCCAATTCTACTGGAGCCGGTCGAGGCTTGAAAAATAACCGATCGGAAAATAACTGGGTGAAATGTAACCAAATAGACGCGATGAAAATGCTTCGAAATGTTCAGTATACGAGTGACTCGGAATTTAGGGCGAATACAGTTTACACAAAGGCTACAACGGGACGTTATTATTAAGACTCCGCTGTCTGTCGGTCTCTCCGTCTATCACCAGGCTGTATCTTATGAACCGTGATGGTTAAACAGATGAGTTTTTCACAAAAGATTAAGTATTTCTGTTGTTGCTATAACAACAAATACTAAAAACAAAATAAGAAATGTTTAAGTGGGGTCCCATACAACAGACATGATTTTGCCGTTTTTATAGAATGGCACGGAACCCTCGCACTTGTCCGGTTTAAGCTGTGTCTCATCGTTAGGAATCTTGTATGTTCTTGTATGTAATAAATAAAAATAATACGTTTTGTATAGAGGAGGCTTTTCTCTTTTAAGCAAGATGAAGGACCCATATTGATAATAAACTTTATTATGGCTTTAATGCCTAATGAGGTTAGTTTACGCCCATAATACAGGTCTAATGCTCGAAAGTACTACCAAAAGTAGCACCTTTGTCTGTTATTCTTCTAAGAACCTTCGCTCTTAGGTTTTGTTAAGTTTTATTGGATTTGCAACTCGCATATATTAACTCATTTTTAAAAATTAATTAATAATATTTTTTTTTTTGAAAATATTTATTTTATGGTTTCCTATTATATAAAATATAAAATAGCGGATATTATATGATGTGAGATAAAAAACAAAAAATAAACAAATTATATTTGTTTATTTTTATACTGTATCGACTCCCAGACGATAAATAGAGCAAAGATAAGAGTAAAGCAGAAAAGACATACAATTTTTAAATTTTCTTTTATAATGAAGTGGAAACAAAAACTTTGACATCCAAAGTTCGTCGTGACATAGTCACTCAGTAGAGTCAACTTCTGCAGTTCAGTCAATGTGATTCACATTTTTGAGAAGTACTTCTACTTCACAGAGACGTTACTTAAGCGTATGCTCTGGTGAGCGAGATAACTGGTATGCGCACTATTCAGAGTCAGCGACTAGACTGCAGCCATAAGCGGTGATTCCACCGTCCATGGACATCCCTAACTCATAACATCAATGCTATCGTCTGCCCATTGACCCCAAAATGAATTTTGCTTAGATTTCTAGATACTCTGTGTACCGAGAGGAATTTAACGTCAAAGTCAAAATTTCTTTGTTTCTTTGTACCGAATCATTAAAGTAGACCTGTCTAGAGAATAACCAGCATTCGACAAAACTGGAACATATAGCTAATGCTGTTAATTACTGTTCTCTTGTCTGCAGGTGCATGTGCCGTCGATGGTGTCCAGGGTGGTGCAGGAAACCCACTGGCTCCTCCGTCTCCGAAAGCAGCGAGAAGCACGACACCAACCAGCAGGTAAAACAAGCTGTTCTTCAGTTATTTCTTCATTAGAATTTTTGAACCAATTCAAAATAATATAAACGGATAGTGAAGGTGAGACCACCACCGCTTTAATTTGTCGAAACTGGTTACTTTATATTTTAGTTTGTAAAGTGTAAATGTAAGTTCTCATACACATCCGCCTACAGCCTGCAGCATTTTTATAGATAATAATCTATCCTTTTAGGTATTTTCTTTTTTTTTTTCTATCTCGTCACAAACAGAGTTTCTCAATTTTGACCAGATCAATTAGAGTTTATATTCTTTTAATTATTCAGATAAAGGATTCTAAGTTAGCTAAAACTGTAGTGAATAAAGTAGCAACTTCAAAATACTTGAAAGTAAAATAATATTCGATACCTACTTATATATTATGGCACAGCATAATGCCGAGCTGCTAACCTAATTTACCGGAATAGGGCGTACAATATTTTTGGTTTGTTAAAGTTCTTTTTCATTTGTTTTATATTTTAATTATGTGTTCTTTTGCTTTACTGAATGATTTATAAGTTAATTTTTTGTTAATTTCAGTTTTTTTTCTCTTTTATTTTGTGTGTCCTTTTTTTGGTAAATAAATGTTTTTTCTTTCTTTATTCTTTTCTTTCTTTCACTTAAAAAACAGCGCGCCTAATAAATAATTTTTGGCTATTGACACTGAGGTAAACATGTAGCTATAAAATTTACGCAGGCGCTAAATTACGAGAAAGTACAAGTTGTGACCGTACATTGAGTTCATAATTTGATTATTGTACAATGATTTAACTAGTCAAAAGTTCGAAAAACGCATACCTTTTTCATTCACATGTATGTCCTCTCCCATCACAAGGAAAACACACTGTAAAAAAAATTAAAAACATTGTCCATGCAAAACTCATATGCAACTATGAAGGAACTCTAGAAAATGCATCAGAATCATATCGGCATTCGAACTTCTGTAAATTTTTAGACTACTCTAGTAAAAGGGCTTACCTAATACATCAAGTTAATTCAAATTTAGTCAGTTTTGGCTAGTGCTTCTTACACCCAAGGGTTGCAGATGCGTTGTCAATTGGGCTTCGGCCACCTCACTCACCAGACGAAACGCGAGAGCGTATAGCAATTTCATCTAATATAGACCTTTATTATAAATACTTGCACATGCACGTTTAATAAATCGGGCCCCTGTTACCACACACAAAAGACGAAGTATAACAAACACTTCCACTTCACGCCGGTCTTCCGTGAGGTTGTGGTAATTCCCTGGACGGACCTGCCCATTTGTGCAACAGGAAACACTGCTGCTTGGTCCTACCACAGAAAAGTGTAATATTATAAAGTATAAATGAAAGTAATAAATATGACGCAAGAAAAACGTTAAATAAAATAATTAAAAATGAAAACATCAATTGGAACAGCCTTGAAACACTTAAAAGTAAAGTAAAGTAACAGCCTATACATGTCCCACTGCTGGGCAAAGGCCTCCTCTATACAGAGGGTATCAGGGCATAGTCCACCAAGCGGCCCCACTGCGGATTGGCGGACTTCACATATCTTCGAAAAATATTTTTTGTTATTATTTCGAAAATATGCAGGTTTCCTCACGATGTTTCCTTCACCGCGGAGCACGTGATAAGTCAGCACTTAAAGTTAAAAGCTTCATTGGTGGGGATCGAATTCAGGTTGCTCGAGTATATTGAATTAAAGGCGAGCGCCCGGACACTGAGCTATCACGGCTCTGGAAATACTTAATAGTTATTTTTGTTTCTACTTTATAATTATTTAGAAAAATGGAGAATAGATAATAATTTTAGAGTACAAAATGGGTTTATATTAGATTCGACGTAATATCTTATTATCGTTTAAACAATGACATTCACCCCTTCATAATCTCTTGCTAAGTCTTTGAGGCTTAATTAATCAACTTTGAAGAAGTTTCCAGACTTTGTAGTAGTGTCATAATGCTCTACGCGACTTTGTAAGTTGGGTCTTCTAAACAACGAGCAATAATTGTATCATGGAACCATACATTGACGACCTAGACGTGTTCAAATGACTAGCTTTGCGTTTGTTGTTTTTTCGCATACATTCGCAATGAGATGATAATATTAAGTATATTGTAAATAATCTTAGCGATTCATCTATAGCCTGGTGGAAATAAGTGATCTGATGTTATGTTGTGTTGACATTTCAATGAAATTTTCGGACCATAATATTATAACTTTTGACTCAGTGTTGTTTAGGTATTATTGCTTCGGTGCTTAATGGAAAATAACCTTTATCAATACGATTCAAAAGTGTTGGAATGCGAGGATATTGGTAGCGCGTATGCCGTTAAATCTATGAAGTCGGATTTATCTTTCTGTGCGGTTTGACTAACAACAATAAATTAATATTATCCGTCGAAATAGCCATCAAAATCGACCAATATTGTAAGATAATAGTCTGCAAAAACGCTCTACTGACAGAGACATTGTTCATTCCGCTTCGTGCTCTCGTACGGAACGGAACTCTCTCTAAGACGGAGGGCTAATGCCACCCGAATTACACGCTACTCGCAACTTCGGTTGCAATTTAAATCTTTGTGCAAGCAGTGCAGTAGTTTAGTGTTAGTGTTGTGCTCGTAGGCAGGTTCCTGTTCTGTAAGTAGAATTCTATACACACTTCTCGCCTCAGAGGCGGCATTGTTTTTATTTAATAACTGTGTGTTTGTTGCGATAGGCGACAGCTAGGTACCCACCCTAGCGCACCTAAAGCGCAGGCGGATTAGTTGTTAGTTTTAGGCACACACCTCCCTGCCGCAAGGTGGGGAGGCCTATTTAGTAACTTACACGCCGGCGGGGCGCAAGCCCCAAAGGCTCAAGCGCTCGAAATGGGTTCCCTCCTAGAGGAATTCCTTCGCCAACGATGTCCCGAAGTGTGGGCAAACTTTCTCGCGTTCGCGAAAGAAAAATGTTTAGTCGTCGAGTTCGCCAGCGACAGCCCGGCTTCACCGGCAGTCGCCTCGCCGTCATCTCCGGCGCTCTCAGCGCCCGTTAATGCGTCGCCTTCAGCGACACAAGAAAAGCCCGTCGCGTCGACCTCCGCCGCCGCGATCGTACCCATCGCGCCTTCCGCGCATCCCATCTCGGCCCCCTTCCGCGCCGTCGTTCCCGACTCACAATCGGACGGCGGATCGGACATTGAGGTCGAAACGACCCCCGCTGAAAACGCGAACGTCGACGGCTTCACCGTCGTAAAGTCGCGTAAGAAGGGCAAAAAACGCCCCGCTGCCAACAGCGACCCCGAATGCGAGGCCGCTTCAACTAACCAACCCACCGCGACGCCCGCCAAAAAGGCGACTGCGGCGGCTAAACCGATGCCCGAATTCGCCTCCGAGCGAAAAATAAAGCCTCCTCCACCCATCATCATTCAGGAGAAGGCTAAGTGGCACTAAATTTCTTCGTGGTTTGAACGCCACAATATCCGCGACCCCCGGCCGAAAAATACACAAATGGGTATCCGCGTATACCTTGACACAACGGACGATTTCCGCCGCGTAACGAAATACTTGCGCGAAAATAAGATAGGTTTTCACACCTACTCTTTGCCCGAAGAACGCAAGCTTCGGGTAGTTATCAAGGGCGTCCCCAAAGAGTCGGATGTCGACAAGGCGAAAACCGACATCCGCACTCAGGGATACCCTGTGCATGCCGTCCGACGCCTCAGACACCCCAGAACCCGTGTCCCTATGGACATGGTGATGGTTGAACTTGACCCTACCCCGGAAGGTAAGGCCATCTTCAACCTGAAGAGGGTCTGTGGGCTCAGCGACCTCGTGATCGAGCCACCGCGAAGATCGGGAGTTGTGGCGCAGTGCCACAACTGCCAACACTATGGCCACACGGCTAATAATTGTTTCGCTCACCCTAGGTGCGTCAAATGCACCGGTGACCACGGCACGCCCGATTGTACGCGGCCAAAAGATTGCGCAGATCCACCGGACTGCGTTAATTGTCATACCACCGGCCACCCGGCTAGCTACAGGGGCTGCGCTAAGGCCCCAAAAACTCCCGCGTGAAAAGCTCCCGCGAAATCTACTTTGCCCAAACCCGCGCCCGCGAAATACGTTCCCGCGCCCGTACCCGTCGTAAACGCCTGGGCGAAACCGCAGGTGGCCGCGCAGGTAGTTGCGCCCCCGGTCGCCTCACGACCAATCACTCTATCGCAGCCCGCCTATCAAACGGCGCCGACGCCGCAGGTGCAGTCGACACCGTCGGTTTTCGCCGTTAACAAGGATGACCCGTTCGCCCAAATTGCCAACATCTGCGCCTTATTAGACCGCATTAATAGACAAGAACTCGCCGTATTGTCCGCTAAAATAGCGGCCGCCACATCTGGCAACGCGCGATTTAAAGCCATTAGCGAACATAAAATGCTTGTAGAAGCCCTCTGGGCATTTACAAGCCAACCATAAACTTAATAGTCCGCGCAATAAAACCGCGCTCCGCCGCGTCGTTAGTTAGAACTCATAAAAAACTTTAATGGGAAGTACAACCGCAGGTAGAACAAAACCTCGGGCTCTGGTTGTTTCGTATTTCAACGCAAACGGCATAAAGGGTCAAAGGGACGAAATCGCGGAATTCCTTCGCGATAATAACGTAGATATTTTTCTAGTGCAAGAGACATTCTTAAAACCTAGTGTACGCGATCCCAGAATCGCAAACTACAACATAGTCCGCCAAGACCGGTTAGCAAACCGTCTGGGAGGCACCTTAATTTATTACAAACGGTCCTTGCACTGTAGCCCGCTCGACATTCCAGAGCTAAGCCATATAGAGGCATCCGCGTGTAGGTTAGCGCTCACCGGCCATAGGCCGCTTGTACTAGTCTCAGCCTACCTCTCGGGGAACAAAACCTTATTACAAAGCGACCTAGATACGCTACTCAACTTAGGTGAGATACGCTACTTAACTCCCTTCCGTGATAATTGCAGGAGATCTAAGCTGCAAACACGGCTC